CAATCTAGCACAGTGAGAGCCATGGTCACAACCATCAGTGGCCTGCATTGCTCCAGGACATGCTGACCATTATGATCACAACAAATCACACAAAAGATGAAGTCTAACTACTCTCCAGCAACAGGAATGAAATTCTCATGGACATGGGAACAAATTTTCCTTCTCTGCCATTCCAATAATACTTGTCAGTCCTCTTCCAAATAAACATTTACACAATCAGAAAAAAGTCATCACATATCTTTTTTTATTTAAAGAAGGAAAAAAAATCAACAAAAGCAACAAACCAAGCAGAACTTCACTCCTGGTCAAAGAAAAGAAACTCTTGAAACTGAATGAAAAACTGTGCTTTTGGTATGAACGTATTACTGATTACATGCCAAAAAAAAAAAAAAAAAGGATGGAGAATATGGTCTCCATCTGCAAACTTTAGTAACTGATAAAGCAGTAGTTCCAAACCTAAATTTTATTTTATCCTTCCTTTTATCAAATTCACATGAACAACATCATCCTTTTGATAGCAGCCTTATCAACTTGCGAGCTAAGGACCCTAGCCAGTATTACCACGACTGCAAATAATGGTTCATTTCCACAAGTAGTCCTGACTTTGTCATCTGAGCCACATACATTTACTGGCAGGTGGGGAGGAAACTGGCCTGAAACACAGGTTAGACAAAGCAGTTCCTACAGTAAAAAATTCTCTAAACTGAGTCAGACAGAATACACAGGGAATGGCAGAGCAGCTAGATTTATGCAGGATTAGTGGAATCAATCTCAAAGCCAACCTCTGCCACCCTTGTTCTTCCACTGATGACTTGTACATACTTTCAAAACAAGTTAGGACACGCAAAGCTCAAATCTGTTGACACCTTTTACTATACAGGATTAAGTCAACCAAAGGGCATCAGTAGTGACAGCATGTGCTGCTTTTCATGTAACACTGCTCTCATCTGCATCATTCCAGTGGCCAATAAAATTAACTCATTCTTCCCACCAGTGCCTTTCACTTTCCCTCCTATTTAAGATAATCAAAGTTGATGCTTTACACACAAATTCAACACATTGACATTCCTTTTGCTAAGCCCACTACAGTCAACTGAAGGGTCCAAAACCCAGCCATTCATATGAGAGGGCTGACAGAAGCAGCATCGTTATTTTTGCTTATCTTCTTCTGTAGTAACTGCTTTTAGAAGTAGTAGATTTAATCATACTGTACCTGCTGACCCTGCACCAGAAACACATTTTTACACATGTATTTGTCATTCCAGGGCTCCTGAGGCACCCACTCTCTTGATTTCAGGGAGTACCAAGTACTGGGCAGATCAGAAAAGGAAAGTGGTAGTGAGAGGGATGTGTCTATTCCTAGTTCTTCTGCTGATGCTCCCCACGCTTGTATTGATCCAAGCACAGTTCAATGAGTGGAGCAAGAAACACTGGTGACAAGCATTTGCACTGTTTTATTCTAGCCCTGCCCTAAGCTAATAGGTTACAGGCTGGGAAATGCCAATACTGTAAGGACTGCCATTGTTAGTGATGGAGCTGCACAGGCTGGTGGTAGGCTACAGCTGAAGGAGCACACAACGGGTAGTACCAGCTGTCTTTGAAGCAGAGAGAGGCAGATTTACCCTCTCTTATTTCTCAGTCCTTAACTTTTAAAATCATAGTCTGCCAAGTGAGAACTTGCACACAAGCACTGAAAGAGCACTAGGAAATTTGTGTAAACAGTGTCAAAATCACATGAACAGCTATTAAAGACTGTAGCATTTCAGCACATTATAGCTTCATTAACTTGGTAACTCATGACCAAGTTATCTGAAGAACTCTCATCTCTAACTGCCCTAAATGATAAGCAATTTTTAGACTAGTAATTGTTTTATCCATTCCAAACATGAAACAAATGGATTACTTACAAAATCAGAAATTTTGAACAATGAAAACTCCCTACAAATTAGGACAAAAAACAATAGGGAAAAAATGCCAGCTAGCAATCCTCTTCTTGATACTTTTGGTTGTTTCTGCCTGTTAGATCCTTCAACACACATTAAGGTCACACATCCAGGCTCAAGCTTTGGCAAGCTTGTAACAACTACATAATCCCTTTTAAAGTAAAAAAAATAATTCTAGAATCTAGTATCCTTGTTATCACTACCTAAAATAAATAAATAAATAGAGGATTTGCTTTCAATGTATTGTAAAGCAACTGTAAAAAAGAACAGTTTGACTCTTTCTTGCCCCTAAGAGGTATGACGGGACACTCACTATAGCACCGTCCTTTCACAAAACGCAGCAAACCTGACACAAGAATTTCTCCTACAAGTCCCCCCACAGGCCTCAAATAAGGGTCTTAAACAGGGAAAAAAAACCACAGCATACATTTCTCTCACAACTGACTATTAGTATTGCATTTTTCTGCAGAAATTCAATTCACATCCCTGACTGTGGTTCTTCCCTCTTGTAGGACCTGGACATCTTCTGGACCTCATCTGTAGGCTGCTACTTGTATCAGACCCCAGTATTTATTCAAGACTGGGGCATATGTGTTTGTTCTTTTTCAAGCCAGAAGCAGAAATAATTTCTTCTTTCTGAAAGGGTACTGCTCTTTTATCCAATTGCGAAGTGGCTTGAGCATGCACTGACATTGTGAGATGTACAAGTCGCACATCCACCCAAACCAGAAAGGATTCAAACCCACACATCCTGCCTCTGCAGAGACTGCACCCCATCTCATGCTTTAGAGGGAAGAATAGTCCTAATTCCCTTTGAAGGTTTCCCCTCTGCAAAGGGAACCTGAGACTCACTGGATCCACCCCATCTCATGCTTTAGAGGGAAGAATAGAAGGTTTCCCCTCTGCAAAGAGAACCTGAGACTCACTGGATTGAAGAATCTGCTATTCTGCAGCTCAACTGAGGGGCTGGAAAAAGAGAAAAGAGCTGGATGCCACCCATGCTCTAAGGACCATGGCAGAGAACAAATTAAGAGGAAAGCTTAATTAATGGCATTTGTGCAAGCGTAAGTGTAAGGTAAATATCAAGGTGTTCTCCCATACTGATGCAAAGACAGGGTGTAACATGTGCAGAAGCAAAACTTCTGGCACATATGAGGGCTGAGTGTGCAGGCACAAAAATCCTGAGACCTTCTGGAGGTCAATGCTTCAGCTTCTTTGTGGCTTTGTTTCCATTCCATGGAGAGGGGACAGGAGTACATTCATAGGGATGACATAGGAAGACATTTTTAAAGACTAAAGTTTTCAGCTGTTACAATAGTTTATGTCATAAATGTTCTTTTAGAAGTGTTTTGGGGCAGCAGGGACACTGGAAAAGAATGCAATTTCAAAAATTAGTTTAAATTGGTTTCCATTTTGTCAAATTCACAAGGCCTGCTACTAACATTTATCACTGGACTACTGCACTTTTGTATTATTTAAAAAAAAAACAAACACATTATTTCCTCTCTGATAGACCTGGAGAATTTACTGATCTTGAAGTTTCATCAGCCTCCCAGCCATCCCATCTGCAGATAAACTCCTTGTAACAGGTCCCCATCTTTTCACAGAGTCCAATTCTTGAAAACAAATTGCAGGAGCACCAAACCATGACTTATGATAGCCTTACAAAATTTACAGCTATGATATTTTTTGTTGATTGATTGTTTTTAAAATTCAAAGCTGCTGAAGGCATGATTACATCAGCCTTTTATTTTTTTTCTTGAAATGAAACTGAAGGATCCAGGCTCATGAAAGTAAGTCTGGAAATACGACCCAAATGTGACACTCTTAAAATTCGAAACTTGAAAGATAAAGAACCAAAATTCTGAGTTTTCTCATCCAATCTTGTTATGTTTTAGACACTATTTGCTGGCTATCATTTTGTGCCAAATGCTACCCAACACACAGAAAAAGAGAGTCCTTTCCCCAGCTACTTATGCGCTAAGTAGAAAAAAGCAAAACCTGTAAGCATTACCTCCACCAGACAGAGAAATAATTGAGGCCAAAAGACTCAGTGATTTACAGTAGTAACCAGTATGTGTATCACTTAGCTCAGAGTTCAATGCTGTTCCAAGACTATGCTTACAATCTTTTTAGAAATTATTTAAGTGATATTAAATATTACAAAGACAAAATCAACATCAGAATGAATTACCATGACCACAGAAATGGACGTTAGGCTTATACAAGATCAGGAAAACCGAAAATAAATCCTTGATAATAAGAGCCAATTACTATCACTGAAGTCCTACTGAACTCTCATAAGTGAGCCAGCTGGAGATTTTCTCAGTCAAGCCTTGTGTGAAAAGCCTCATAATTGCCAATAAGCAGCTTTGAATGATTTAGATAGTAGTGACACCTTACTGAAGTACAGCTTACTGATCTCCAAAACAGTGCTAACTTGCCTCACCATAAGGCTTATTTTGCCTTTTTTGGGGGTATGAAATGCACAAATATTCCTAACAAAAAAACCCCACCAAACTATAAGAAACCTAGAAAGCAAATGTACACAAATTTATAGAGTTATATTACTAGTTTATTACCACACATCTAAAATCAATGTTTCTTAATTAAAGGGTGACAGCTAGGCAAGATTGCACATGTTTATACATATTTACAGCATAATGTACTTCCAAAGGACTCATTAAAAATCTGTAGGACACAAATACAGAATTACTGCAGGGTGAAACAGAAATTCAGTAAAAGTTGTTTAAAATGGTCCATACCCTTTCCTGTGGGAAAGAGAACAGATCTCATTACATTTGAAAACAAGAGTGTAATCAATTACATTCAGACAGAAAAGTTTACTACATACATATAAGGTACCGGTTATCATCTGTGAGAAACAGCATTCTACAGTAATAGCTTTTACACATGAAAAACCCACAAGAAACTTAAAATCATTCGCCCGAGGACCCAAATTGCAAGAAGTCACTAAGGCAGCAAAAGATGCTACCGGGTCCGCAGTCCCTGACCATGAGGATAAAAACAAACCACACCCACCAACAATTCACTTACCCAGCAAAGAGCCTACGAAGATGACAACCTGCACGGTGGTGGTGAAATGCCGGTAGGTCTGCTCGGGGCCCGGCTCGGGGCCCGGCCCGGGGCCCCCCGCGGCCGCGCTGCCGTTCCCCGCCGGCCACGCCAGCGGCCCCGCCGAGCCGTTCCTGAGCAGCAGCGCCCTGCTGACCGCCTGGTACGGGCCGTGGGCGCTCCCGTTCCTCGGCACCCAGCTTCTGTCGCTCCCCATGGCAAAGCTCCTTCCTTCCTCGCTGCCACCCAATAGCCAAAGGTTACTAAGCCCTCGCCTTTACTGCCTGAATGAAGCCCACAGGCAAAACAGGCACTTCTGAGGATAAAGCCCCATCTCTGACACTCGAAGACATCTTCACCACATTGCTGCGTCCCAGAAAGCAGGGTCGGCTTTTCACGTTTCCACCTTGTAAACCATGACAGCCAGCAAAGACAAGCAGAAAACAAGGCAGGCTGCTCCCTGCGATTAGCTGTCTCGGATTTCTTGCTCCACAATAACACAGCTTTTCCTCAGCATGTTTACTGCAACAGAGGTGAGTGAGGAAATTACAATCCGCACCGTGGCTCATCTTCCCACCCCCGCCAGGTCACCTGTCCCGCCAGGTGACCCCTGTCCCGCCAGGTGACCCCTGTCCCGCCACGCTCGCACGCGCACCAACTCACTACGCATTAAAGCCCGTCTGGAAAAGTTGATGGACCGCAAACTCTGACCCGCACCCCGCTCTCAGCCCCGACGTTAGCTTTTCTCACAGCCCTGAGAGAGTAAAGCCATCTCCCTCCCCAGGGCACCTCTTGCAGCCTTCTCGTCTCTCCTGCCACCGCCCGTGCTGATCCACAGCTCCGCCCTGGCTCGGCACCACACCGGGCACCAACAGGACCCTTACACGGCGTCCAGAGGAGTAAGTGACTGCCCAGCGGCTTCACTGCACTCCAGCTATTCCTCGGGAAAAATGAATGTGGGTTTGAATCCCAAGGCGGGGGGCCGCCGCGCCCCCAAACGAACAAAAAA